ACGTGGGGTTCTAGAGGTCGAAGAGAATGTATCGAGGTCAATGACGAGTCCTTGAGGACAAGGACTCATTCGAAGGGTAGAGGAACGATGAAGATGTGGCTTTCGAGGTCCGAGCACGCCGAGAGCCGATGGACGAGACGATCTAAGAGGGCCGAGAAAAGGGCCAAAACCACGCGTGCATGGCCTAAAAGACGGGTACGAGCTCGTATGCGAGGATCACGAGGAAGGCGACGTGAGCTGTGGACACACGCATGGCCTCGGGCTTATCGCACGAGGTCAAAATGCACATAGCCGAGACCTGGAAACCCTGCAGGTCGACGACGAGGACTGGGTGAGACCCGGTATGAGACACGCGTACGAGAAGGTTTGAGAGGCCTCATGAGGAAAGGAATAGCGCGCGACCAAGCACGCGGGGCGTACACAGACGTGATGCGCATAAACACGAGGCGAGCCGTTCGAGCCGGGGAGCGAAGATTCTAGGTGTTATTTATAAATTAGATTAATTGTTAGTTTAAATTAAATTAATTAGTAATGCCGAAGCTTGTTAGGATAGTTAATAGTTATTAGAATGATTGTTAGATTTGTTAGTGATTTTGGGCGTGAGCTTATTAGGTTAGTTTTGTTAGGATTAGTAATTAATTATTATATGTTAGTTTGAGTAGCAGTTTAGTTCATTAGGTTAGTATATATATATATATAATATATATTTTTTTTCCAACAAACAAGGTTAAATATTATAAAAACTCAGCAAATAGAGTACAATCGATAAGTCCAATGACTACAAATGTAGAAATTCTAGCAACTAGAATCCTAACACATGGGAAGATAACATACTATCCCCCTCCACAGCCACTTTGGCTAAAGTCTTACAATTAAAACATAAAGAAACATTACAAATAAAAGAACAATGCTGGAAGAGAGGAAGCAAAGCATAGATGTCCTCTGCAATGATGCCATAAGCACAGCTGAAGGGATCCTTTTTCTGCAATCTGGTAGCTAATCTTTCATCATTAACACAACATGTAATGGACTGAAATTTTGATTGAACAACTCTCTCCATCAGCCATCTCACAGCTATAAGCTTGATTTCTTCTTTAGCACATGTGAATTTTGTAACTTCAGACCGCCTCTGTGTTAGGACCCCTTCACTGAAAACTCCCCCTCCCAGACCTAAGGTCCCTGAGCTGGTATGTAGAGCACTGGCAGCTAGAAAAATCTGCCCTACTCCTAAGTTGCTATCTACCATCTCATTATCCAGACCTTCCTGGTTATGGTTGAAAGATAGACTAATTGTATTCTTTTTTGCCTCTAGAACTGCAGAATACTCAGACCATTCCTCCCAAGCACTTCTAACAATCACAACCTCTGGAGTTTTAACTTGTTCAAAGAGCCAACCATTCCTAGTCTTCCATAGCCACCACAGAAGGTAGCTTGAAAGACTGATTCTATCACACAGGCTCACAGTACTCCCTTTGGAACATATATCAAACCACCAATTTTTAAAGGATTCTGTACCTGAGCTCAAACTCAGCCACTCAATTCCCACCAGCTTCCAACAAGTCTTAGCCCTACCACATTGAAATAGCACATGGTCAATATCCTCCCTCTCCTCCCCACAAATAGGATACCACACATCCCACTCCATCCCTCTCTTATGTAAATTTACCCCTGTACTTAAAAACCCAAACCAACATCTCCACAAAAAAAATTTCACTTTGCTTTTAATAGGGAGACCCCAAGTAGTTTTCCACATCTGCTTAGAAAGCCTTTGTGAAGAACTAGAATCAGCCTCCTTCTGAGCCTCCCTCCAAATCAAATGCTCATAGACAGATTTCACAGTAAGTTCCCTTTTGGCATGCCAGTGCCAGATTAGCCTATCCTTTTGACCACTATGACTTAGAGGTATTCTTAGAATAGACTCAGCATCTTGTGGTGTGAAGGATTGAAGAATAATTCAACATCCCATTCTCTGGTCTCTTTCATGATAAGATTCTCAACCTTATGTAGCTTGGCTCTATCAGTATGGAAGTGGCAGTCATGTTTGAATGATCTCTGTGATGATAGCCAGGGAGAGTCCCAGATGTTGATACTCTTCCCATCTCCCACTCTAAATCTCATCCCTAATTGCAGAGATTTTCTAGCTTTCATCCAACTCTTCACAACCAGGAGTTAGAATTTTTACAAGACACATCCATAAGATTTTGATTCCAGAAATATTTACATTTCAAGACTCTACTCACAAGAAAATTGGGTTTGGTTATCAACCTCCATAGCTGTTTCACAATCAAGGCTTCATTAAACAATCTAAGATTCCTAAACCTAGCTCACCCATATCTTTAGATTTAGTCAGATTGTCCCAGCTAGTCCAATGAATTTTCCTATTACCCTCCCCCCTCTGACCCCACCAAAATCTAGCAATCTCAGCACAAATATTCTTGCAAACTGAAACAGGGATTCTAAAACATGACATAACAAAAGTAGAAAGAGCATTGAGAATAGACTTTATAAGGACCTCTCTACCTGCCTCACTCAAGAACCCATTTTTCCAGCTACACACTTTTTGTTTTACTTTCTCACTCATAAAACTGAATATTTCTCTCTTGTTTTTTCCAATGCCCAAAGGCAGACCCAAATACCTGAAAGACTGAACCTTAGTGATACCATTCAAGATATTGCAGATCTCACAGATAGCATTCTGAGGGGTATTTTTAGAGAAGAAAATTGAAGATTTCTCCATATTCACCAACTGACCAGAAGCCCTACCATAATCATCTAATATGTTCAAGATAAGCACAACTTGGGAATTGGTAGATTTACAGAATATAATAGAATCATTAGCAAAGAAAAGGTTAGAGATAATGGGAGCATGCTTACTGATCCTAATACCATGAAACTCAGGCCTAATGGTGGCTTGCTTAAGCAAATTAAAAAGGGCTTCTGTAATGATAATGAAGAGATAGGGGGATAGAGGGTCCCCCTGTCTAAGACTTCTGGATGGCTGAACAAAGCCCAAAGGGTGACCATTCACATTGAAAGAAAAAGTGGAGGAACAAGTACAAGCACAAATCCAGGCAATAAACTTATCATGGAAGCCCGTTTTGCTACAGACTCTATAAAGAAAGTCCCACTCAACTCTATCATAAGCCTTGGACATATCCAGTTTAATTGCCATGTAACTGTCTTTACCTTTCCTTTTGCTATTAAGATAATGTATACATTCATTGGCAATCACTAGATTGTCAATTAACTGTCTACCAAGCACAAATGCAGATTGAGTGGGGGGAGATGCAAACATGAAGAACCAGTTTAAGTCTATTAGCAATAATCTTAGATATAAGTTTATACACCACAGAACACAAACTAATGGGCCTAAATTCCTCAACCTTTTCAGATTTTTTTTTCTTAGGGATCAGAGAGATAGCAGTATGATTAACAGATTTTGGCATAATACCATTATGAAAAAACTTTTGCACAGCCAAACACAATCCCTCTCTAATAATACACCAAGAATTCTGGAAAAATGAAGCATTCCAACCATCAACCCCAGGAGCTTTCAATGAATCCATCTCTTTTAAGGCCTTCTCAATTTCACTCACACTAACCTCTCTAATTAACCTGTTATTCATTCCAGCAGTAATAGTAGCAGAGATGCCCTCAAGATTACAATCATCAGCAATAGGATTAGTGGAAGTGAAAGGTTCCTGAAATAACCACTAATTTCCTAAACAGTTTCATTCTCAGACACACATCTACTACCATCATTCCTTTTTAGATTAATAAGAGAGTTAGTGGATCTCCTTTGTTTAACACTAGCCTGAAAGAATTTGGTATTCCTATCCCCTTCATAGATAGCCAAAGCAGAGTTATACTGCCAGTTTACCTTTAAGCTCATAGATAGCCAAAGCAGAGTTATACTGGTTTCTACCCTTCCAGTTTAAGAGACTATCTTTAACATTTATCAGCCTTTTATGAATGCTAATGATATTAGTGCCATAAACCTTAGACTTCCACCCTTGCTCAATAGCCTCTTTAAAACCCTCTTTACTCACCCATCTGGCATCAAATATGAACTTTTTCTTCTTAAGAGTCTCATCACCATTAAAGTACAGAGCAAGCAAGTGATGATCAGAGGATATCAAAGGTATGTGCTTAACCAGAGAGTTTGGGAATAGCAAGTTCAACTCAGGGAAAAGGAATAATCTATCCAGTTTTTCCTCCACAAAACTGCTACCCATTCTATTATTAGCCCAGGTGAACTTGTTACCAGAAGTTCTGGTTTCTACCATACCCATGACCTGCACAAAATCCCTGAAAATTTTGAAGCTAAACTCATCTCTAGGAATCCCACCATTCTTATCCTCATTAGAAAGGAGGTCATTGAAATCCCCACCCAAAAACCAAAACTCCCCCCAGAAAAGACTATGCCTAACCAGAGTATCCCATTGATACTTTCTGATATGCTGATCAGTACTAGCATATATAAATACCCCAGTAAAGACATCTTCTTTCCCACAAAATTTGAACTTGACTTCCATACAGAAGTCCATGCTCACAATGTCAACAATAGACATTCTGTTAAACCAGTACAATAACAACCCCCCTTTCCTACCTACAGAGCACTCATAAAACCACATATCATCTAATTTCAGATTCTTACAGACATTTTCTAGAAATTTGGTTTTTTTCTTAACTTCAGACAAAAAAAAAAAAAAGAAAATCAAGAAGGTGAGCCCTAAGGGTCTCTCATACCTGGGAAACTGTAGAGGGTCCCCCCAGACCTCTACAGTTCCACACACATACTTTTATTGGGCACTGGGGGATCAATTATGGCTGGTTGCCTCCACCAATGAAAGAGAAAGTGTGTTATCAATTTTGGGCTTCTTGGACTCAGATTCAATCATCCCTTCCTCCCCAAGGAGCAAAGTTTCATCCTCAAGAGATCTTTTTTTCAAACTTTTACTACCCTCCCCCTCTTCAACAACTATGGGGACTTCATCCACCACCATATCTTGGATAGGATTCACCAAATGGCTCCTTGCTTTTCTGGAAAAAGGTTTTTTTACTCCTAGCTCCTGAGAAAGTCAGCAAAGGTGACTGTTTGATTTCAACATCAACCAGGCCTTTAGAGCTAGGCTCAACCTCATAATGAGGTTCAACCCCTTTTCCCTTTGGGGTTAAGTCCTTATCAGCATTATTAGGTTGCATCAAAGGGCTTTTACCCAAATTCAAAGGAGGTGTATCCAACCTAATAAGTTCAATGGAAACACTCTCAGTAGCAACTAGATCCCTCAGATGGGTTTATTTTTGGAAGCTCTGAGGAGTATTAAATTCCAGAATGGGTATAGGGTATTTACCAACAGGATTGCTACCACTAGAGGTATTAACAGTTTTTACTCTTATAGAAAGAATAAGACCCTACCCTCAGCCAATCCCCAAACTGACCAGTCTTAAGCACATTGTTATTAATATCCTTTTGTTTGAAAGAACAATTCTTATCACCATGACCAAGTCTACCACAGTAATAGCACAAAGTTTGAAGGTTTTCATACCTGAAGTCAATCCATGTGTTCTCAGCTCCCAGCTTAATGAAGGTGCCTCGCAGAATTGGTTCCCTCACATTTAATTCCACTAGCACTTTGATGGTTTGTCCTATGCTGTTACCCACCCCTGGTGCTTGCACATCTATCACTTTACCAATTTTTCTTCCCATTTTCAACCCCAATTCTGTCGTGGACCAATGGAGAGGAAGGTTCTGGATATGCGTCCAAATTCTGACCACTTCCTCATCTTCAGAGAACTCCAGGCATTTGGGGTCCCATTGTTTAAGGAGGATGTACTGGCCACCGAATGACTAGGCTTTCCCTTTGAGAATTTTATCATGATCCTCCTCCAATTGGAATAAGAACTGGTACTTGTTGAGTCCGAGGTTTCTGATGTTAAAAGGTTTACGGGTAAACCAAATGTTTCCCAAGGTGGTTCCTGTTTATTGTGTTTTTGTGCTTCTTTTTATGTGTTTTATGTGTGTAGTTGAGTCGGTTTTAGGTTGGTTTTCTTGTCTAACCGGTCCATTTTAGTTGATTCCGTGTGTTTTCATTTTCTCTTTGGTGTTTGTATTTTGGCGTACTTTCTCGTGTCTTTGGTGCAATATTTAGGTCCATTTTGGAAGATGAAAGAGAAGAATCGAGCCAAGTTCCGAGAGCATGAACCATTCCGAGAACCCCCGAGCCATTATCGAGTCATTACTGTGCAAGAGATCCGGAAGTCTACTTCGTCTAGCGAACGTGTTCGCCGCATAGCGAGTGTGCACAAGACCCACAAGACCAGTTCGCCTAGAGAACGCGTTCGCCGCCTAGCGAGTGTGCACAAGATCACAAGACCAGTTCGCCTAGCGAACGCGTTCGCCGCCTAGCGAGTGTGTACATGACCACAAGACCAATTCGCCTAGCGAACTAGTTCGCTACCTAGCGAGTGCTAAATTGTTAAATGTGTGTGTTTTAGTGTGTGTTTGTGGTGTAGCTATATAAAGACATTATGCTTTGTATTTTTAGAGACAACCCTCATTTCCCAACTTTTAAGTTGGGAAAATCCTCTCTATTTTCTTTTTTCCTTTTTTATATTTTGGTTTAGAGCTTATGAATCAAGTTTTCTGGCGAATTTCCGGCGACATTGTTTCGAGTAAAGTTTTGAGCTTTTGACTCCGTTTCTCTTCCCAAGCGCGTGTGAGAGTGGGTACTTAGTCTTAAGCCTCATTACTTCGTATATCTTTGTTTGCTTTTGTGAAAATCGATATTGTGCTTGTGTTGCTTGGAGGAAAAGATTGAATCTTTAGATCGTGAATGCTTGACTAAGTGTGATTAGGAGTTGAATGCTTGCTCGTCTTGTGCTAGAGCTTGGTTTAGCTGCCTAGAGTTTTAGCTCGCATGGAAATGTTCGATTATTTTTGTGCAATTGATCATAGAGACTCCGACGAACCAAAATCTCTCTTTCCCCCTTGATTTCTCTCATCTTTTTGCGTGCTTTAATTGCTTTCAATGCCATAAATTTTGTAGATTAGTTTAGCTTAAATCAATCCCTTTCAAGCGAGTAGAATGTGTAGGACCTTCTTTTCGGTTGTGTGACTTTCACGACTAGGTAGTGAACAAAGCTCCGAAGAGCCTTTCTTTGAGAACGACCCGAGTCGGGTAGCTCGGTTACCACATGCCCAAAAATACTACAAACAGTTCTCATGCCGTTAAAGTTATTTTTTTTTCTCCCCGTAACATTTTCCAATCAAACTCAACTGACATTCATGGAGTCCGTTAGCCACATCTGTATCAGATAACTCCACTCCTTCTTCATCCTTCCCCGACAGTTGAAACTTCTTCAATTTGTCGGCAACTTTGTCCGCCATCATATCTAGCTAACACCAGTACCTGAAAGGTAATAAAAGCAGATCCAACACCAAATACCTACTAGACGTGACAATGCAGCAAAACAGTGAACATATACAATCACACAATAACATAAAGAAAGCACAGACAACACAAATCAACCAGATCCAAGGCAACAAATAGAGTTAAGAGAGAAATCCATAAAACCCTAGACACAGAACTCAGCAAAAGAAAAAGGCACAACACTAAGAAGGAGAAGGGAGACGCAACCCTAAGAGGGCAAGGGGGAAACTAAAATAAGAATCAAGGAAAACAACAGGAACGAGATGCTATCTGTAAGACTCCAATCTGTGGAACTGGAAAACCTAAGCGGGACAGATCCTCCAAGAACTGGAACTAAAAAAATATGGCTTGTCCGGTTAGTATATATATTTATTTGTTGGCGTTAGTGATAGGTTAGCCGTGTTAGTTAGTAATTAAGATTTAATTAGTTGATTAGGTATTTTATATTTTGTTAAGTCTTGGGATGCAAGACATTTAGTTACCTTAGGACTATATATTATTTCCTAGTTAGAATTATTGACTAGATATTATTTCCTAGTTAGAATTATTGCTCTCATAGGACTAGATCTAGTTTTTCTTATAAATACTCATGTACTCATTCAATTTTATATATCGTTGAAATTAACAGAAAAATCGAACGTTTTGCTCAAACTTGTCTCGTGTGTTTTCTCCCGTGAGTTTACGTAGAGATCATGATAGAAATAGGACCAATATCCGAGTTTCTTCACAACTATCGCGAAGTACGAAGGCGCTGGCGCTGGCGCTTGTATTAGCATCTATCGCTTGGAGACCAAGGCGTCGGCGCGGGTTTCAAGGCAAATCGAGTTGAGGCGGATACATGATCTTAATCACGACGCCTAGGCGGACATATGCGGACCTATACGCCCTAGGCAGGCTCATCTGCAATTTTTCAGTTTTTTTTTTAAATACTAATTACATTATTTTGTTCTCATGTTTTCTTTAAAATATATTATTTTTATTATTTGGGCTTAGGAGTATCGATTTATTATAAGTTGAGATAATTTTATTTTGTATGTAGTTAAAATAAATAAAAAATAAAGTTTTTAATATAAATTTCTAGGCCCCGCCTAGACGCTCTAGGTGCTAGGCGCTGGTCGAGCGCCTAGCAACTTTTAGAACACTGCTTACAAGAAAACATGTTTAGATATATGCTTCAACTAATAATTTTTATCTTTTCTAGTGTAAACATATGATCTTTGTAATGTTGAGCATCTAATGGAATATATCTTCTGAGATCACTATCAACTCAGTTCCTTCATACTTTGCCACTTTGTACAAGTTGTGACTAGATATTCAGAAAAGGAGCGAGTTTGTGATTTGAAAGACCGACTAAGTTAACAAGGTGGAAGTATTGATAAACTTATTGCTTTCATGGCTGGCTCTGGGAACAAAATATGACCTCAAACGTTGCATGTAAGTAATAAGTTTCATTTAGTCATGTGTGAAATTACTTTAGTGTCCTACTTCATATTTTAATTGTTATACATTGATTGGAAAAGTTTAACACAAACAAGCGATCATTTTTTTGTGTGGCTGTTTGGATTTAGCAAGATGAAGGTCCCGAGGTTAGTGTTTCGAGGTTCATGTATTCAGATACTCTATCAGGAGATATGTCAACTTAGAAATGTAATACAATGAGATTTGCTATATTATTTTTTATTAAAGTACTTAGGCTTTTGTTTTGTTTTGTTTTGTGTTTTTTTTTTTT